ATTCTAATTTTCCTCTGGAAAATGCAGCCTCTAAGTGGTCTAGAGGTCTTACTATGCTCTCAAAACACCTTTCTTATACAGCCTTTGGTCTTGATTGAAACAGATTTCACTCTCTCTACCTTGTAATCTACAATGTACATCTATACCTGCTTGATATACATTACTCCTCTCGAATTCTGATGTATTTCTTTGGAATATGTTTCACCCATGCATATCTTCATCCCCAGCACTAGTTGCATTCCGTTTGCAGAACACCTGCATATTTATCTCTGGTATGAAACATTGACATTCTTTATGATGATTGTGGTAAGCACAATATAATGTGTCCTGAAGGATGTCTACATCCTAATCCACAGAACCTCTTACCTCACATAGCAAAAGAGACTTTATAGATGTGATTAACTTAAAGATCTTGAAAAGGAGAGATTACCCTGGATAACATGTGTGGGTCCCATCTATTCCCCTGGTTCCTTAAAAATGGAAAGTTTTTCTGACCTGTGGTCAGAGAAGGCTGTGATCTGCCTCCCCCTTGCCTCGTTGCTTTGTTTTTGATTTCCTAGAGCTCTGCTATCTTCCAAAATCATAACATTGGACTGATATCACCAAATCTTTTGACTTTAAATTAAATAAGCAGACTATGAATTCTTCCGAACGTACCATTAATATTCACACAAGTTAACAACTGGTGGCTTTAATAAACCCCACAGGATAGCCCCATGTGTCTTATACACACCCTCCAGGAAGACAACAAATCTCCTCACCAGCCACATCAGTTCTACAAGTGGCTATTTCCACTCTCCCAAACTGAAAAGTCACACATATCCTTTATGTCCAGTTTCTTTGGTGCTGGTAACAACTATTTACTTATCTCCAATACATGTTAACCCTTCCTATTTTATATAAAGTATGGAATGCTGCTTCCTATTTAGAAGGTTCCGTTTTATTCTCTGGAAACTGGCCATTGCCTCTTCTCTGATTTCAAAAGGCATTTTAAACTTTTTCTTTTCTCTTTCTTTCCAATGTCTCATTCTTCTATTGGGCAACCTCAACACTAATTTTGATTCTGTCAGAGATCCTTGAAATCTTATTATTTCTGTTTTCTTTCCTATTTGTTGTGTGCTGTCTAAAGACCATTCATTCTAGTGGTTTAGAAGTGTTCCACCTTTTAATTCAGAGACTTGCCTACATTTGCACAGTACATAGTTGGTGGCTTCTGAAGCAGAAAGTTTGCTGACGAGCCTGGAGTTTTTAAAATTTCCCCAGGTGAAATCTCATAATTGCTTTGGGGTCAGCTTTGCTTCACTCTTGAATCAGTCCTGTCTCTAACCAAGGAGCTTTTCAGAAGCCCCCAGGTCCACAGTGTGGTTCCTCAGTAGTGGCTGAGCTTGCTGCAAGTTCTGCACTAACATTGCACAAAGGCTTTAGAACATGGATTCTTGCCTGGTTCTGTGGCATGTCAACATGTGCTTGGAAGTAGTAATAAAAGCTGAGTGCTTGCTATGTACTATGAAGTCCACATTCATTATTTTATTTGAGTCTTCACAATTATTATATGTGTTAGGTCATTTTATTACCCCATTTTAGATGAAACACCAGTTACGGAATCCCTTTTTCAAATCTTCTGTTCCCAAACCCTTAGGTCCTTTTGGACCACACTTCCACATGGCTCCTTTTGACAATCCTCTGGGAGAACTGGAACCTTGGCCTGGATCCCTTGGACTTTTCCTGGTATCTCCTACTGCCTCCCTGGCAGTGCCTCCCTAAATGCCTGCTTACTCTCAGCTCATCACCGCATCACCACTGTCAGCCCTGCTCTACCACTGGTGTTCTGCTTGGCATTGATTTCGTGTTGCCAGGTTAATAGCTCTGCTACTAATACTGTGGCCAATCCAAGGATGGGTTCAACTCAGGGTAAGCAGAAGTTGGGTGGGCAGTGAGAGAGGGGAAAGGGGATGCCCTAAAGGGGCATTTTTGAGTGCATTCATGTGTGTGAGGACAGGAGTGAAATGAAAAAATATCCGTCAACCTCCCAGCACCAACTAATCAGAATGTACATCAACTGTAATCGTGGAGCATGCTACTGTGACACGCGTTACTCCATTATTGCTGATCCTTGGCAACAGCCTAAGAGATGCCAGGGGAAGGCACTTCAGGGTCTTGGTGAAGTAGCCATTGACTAACTGACAGAAGAATTTCTATATTTTAACATAGAATACCAGCCCTATGTGGGTGGGTCTAAGAGAAGGAAGATTTCAGAGTGAGAAAAAACTCGTATGTTCTCAAAGGTGTGTTTGGATGATGTTAAATTTATATATCAAATCTAATTTCAAACCCCCATTCTTTTCTTTACTTAGTAGCTAGAATAATCTTTTTAAAAAACAAATCTGTTCCTTTCATTTCTCTGCTTAAAACCATATGATAGAGCTCATATCTTCTCCATATGATGATTCCCATTTTCCTCCCTGACAACATAAAACGTCTTAGCTTGGAATTCATGAAACCACATAATCTAGTCCCTGGATGCTGTGTAACCTCTTTCCTTACTCATAACCCATGTGCATGCTCACACACACACACACACACACACACACTTCTGGAACACAGTGTGTTAACACAATCATCTTTACCCGAGATTCCTATCCTGAAAAGCTCCGATGATCCTTTGGTACTTAACTACATTCACTTCTCTGGAAAGACTTACTTCCCATGTTGGACTTCACTAATAAATAACATGTACATTCCTCTTACTGAGTTCTGATTACCTTCTATCATAATTGTTGGGCCTCTCACTCCGGATATGAACTCCACATCCACATGTTCACAGGACCTGTCTCTCTTCATCCTTCTGTGCCCTACCATTAACACAGTGCCTAAGTCACGGTGTGTATTCAATAGATACTCAAAAGAATAATCTCATTTCCTTTCATCATCTCAATGATCCACATAACAAGTATGTGAGGCTCTAGAACTGAGGCACAGAAGGTTTTACAATTTGTAAGTTGACCTGGTAGGGTCAGGCTTAAACTCAGCCTTTTGTTTCCAGAAGGGAAAAAGTGGTGACAACACTATGTCTTTTATAATACTCCAATAATTAATATAGAAAAATTGGGTTAGGTCCTTTTTGAGATGCATTTCCCCATAGCAGGATTGATTTATTTTCCTCTCCCAAGTCTTACCCTGAGTACACTCCAGCAACCCATTCTTTAGGTCCTGCTTCCTCAGGAACTTTACATGAGATATTCTCTTTGAGAAGTGTGTCTTAATTATAAAGTCTCCTTATTCTTTATACCTCGAGTCTTGGTGCTGGTTTTGATTTTGCTCTAGGCCTTGATGTCTAGCTGTGCCATAATCAATAGCTTCCCTCTGAGCCCTGACCCTTCACGTGGTTGCTGAGATCCACCAACTTTCCCAGACACTAAGGACTAGTATTTTCTGGGAAACAACAGCACGCAAGACTTTGAAACCATGGCTTTATCAAGAGCTTATGTGCAGGTGTTCAGCCTGACTTCTGACTATTTGACTGTCTTTCAATGTTGTTCTCCAGCCCGGCTGAAGACCTCAGTCCCCAGTTCCTGGATCCCATCCTAACCTTGGCCTGCTCAATACCAAAATTTCAACTTATTGCCAGAGTTCATTGCCGCACCTGGCATTTCACTTTAGATTTACATCACTTAGAAGTGTGGCTGCCAGGTAACTAGGTATTCTATAATTAGCAGAACATTCTATGATTTTCTATAAAAATTGGATCTAAATAGGTATTATTATAGAATTCCTCATTTAGAATTTATTTTCTAGAATATAAAAGTTGCTATTGCTACTGTATTATATAAATAATATATAGTTTTCTATAGAATTGGCTTTACATGATTCCTGCATGCTGACATTTGTTCCAAGTGAAAAGTAAGCAAAAATAACTCTAGGGCTGTGTTGTCCAATGTGGTAGACACATGCGGCTTTAAGCCTTACAATATGGCCAGCCCTAATTGACTTGTTCTCCAATGTGCATCTGATTTCAAAGGCAATATAAAAATATGGAAAATATAGCTTTCATAATTTTGACATTAGTTATATGTTGAAATAAGAGTATCTTATATATTTTGTTCTAAATATAATTTTTATAAAAATTAATTTCTCCTATTTCTTTTTACTTTTTTAATGTGGAAAACAAAAAGATCTCAAATTACATATGTGGCTTGCATGATTTTCTATCGGACCACACTGCTACACAGGATATGCCTTGTAGCTCTTTAATGTGAGCAAACTACCTATGTATAGATGAAATGGAGTTAGTTCAGAATTCAAAAGCAGGAAAGGCTATACATGGCAGGAGGAACCTCTGCCTTGATTTTAAAATTCATGTTCCTTGTACACACTGACATGCCACCTGCCTTGACAAGCTTTGAAGACCTGGTAATCTCACGAGAAATGAGGCTGAACCAAATGGCATTTGTCCACAGCTCCCCAGATAGTGCCTAACCTCAGAGGTTTAAAATCAATATCGATTTTTGTCATTTATTTTACCCCACGTTTAAATATTCCTTAGATTTATTACCTTTAGGTTTTTGGTTAAGATTCAGTGATGGGTATGGTAATAAGTTATGCAGATATCATTTAATTTATGAACTCTGGAGCTCCAGGGTAGCTTTCAGTTCAAGAAATATATTAACCACATGCATATCACCCTTCATTCTGCGGTGAGGATTTCCAAGCTGGGTCCCTATGGTGCCACTTAATTTATGGTCTGGCCAGGTATGTGGATCTCCATACAATATTTCAATATAAGTTGCTCCAGCTAACTGAGGGGATGAAGACGGGCTTCAAAACACTAGTTGGACAGCTGATGGATTGCTCTCCCATACATTGGCCGCAGCATTAAGTAGCTTTTAAAGCTTGTCAGCGGTTTGGATCTTTTTCTGTTCTGAGAAGCTGCGCACACCGGCCTAGCCAAGCACAATCAGCCATGCTGCAGCAGGCAGAGGGCAGCTCCCAGAGTTACTTACGTTGACAGCCGTAGTGCCAGGAATTTCCCGGCAGACACTCATCACACTTAGGCCCTGTTGTTCCAGTCTTACACTCACAAAATCCTGAGCCATTACAACGATCATGGATTGAGCCCAAAGGGTTACAATAACACTCTGTAGAAACAAGACAACACACAGGCTGGAGACAAGTCTGCATGGCTTATAGGTTATCAACACAGGAGCGTCACTTAAATACATCACTTACTTAAAGAAAGATGTCCATTAATGAAATGCTTCGGCAAGTATGGCTATTTCAGGGCCATTTATTTATTTGCTTAGCCTTCCATGATATCATTTTTATGGTATGGGAGGAAATCAACTGAAAACTTCCACGAAAATAAGACATGCTTTTCACTGATAATAGATCATGATGGAGATTCCATTTGTTAGGGTATTTTTAGATGGTTTAATGAATACCATGAGAAGTTTGTATATCAAGGATAAATCAATATGCCATCAGTGTAAAATGCATTTTAAATTATTCAAATGGGCTTAGCCATTGCACTCAATACTTGAGAACTGCTGAACATTTTAAAACTACAATATGAATGCACTTTGCTCATTCAAAGGTCGTTTTACTTTATGATTTGGGATACTGCTTTAACTTATTCATGTATATACCATTTTGTGATGAGCCTTTAGATGTTGTATTTGCTAGGCATATTAATGCAGCTTTTATGCAGCCTAGATTAACAGTCATGAAAGAAAAATAAACTTTGTAATCTTGAATAAATTTCAAACATAGTTATAATTTAAGATGTACATTTTTCTTGATAATGTCTGCTGGCAGGACAATATGGCTTTGCACAATAAAAGGTAAACAGAGTGTTTTCTGTATTCCTCACACATTCTTATATAGGATATTTTTACTTCTGAAGCTCTATTTTGCTTAAAACTTGAGCGAGCAGTGAATATTCTTTAGGCTTCTTGTATTAGTTGGAAAGGTAGTGGAGGTAGCTTGCAGCTTTTGGGTACTGTGGGCCAAAGTTCTGTTCCTCATTACTCTTTTAATAATTTTGCGGAAGTTATTGTATCTCTCAGTTTCCATTATTTAAAAATGCATATATTAAGTAGTTCCCTTACTAAAAACCAAACAAAACTATGCCATCCAACTAACCAAGAGGAGTTTTGAAAACTTAGTTTAATATAATAAAATTGAGCATCTTAGATTTGCTATGGGGGTTCAGGGTTTAACATTATTGTTGGATCCAGGAGTTTGACTCTAAATTTCTGTCTCAGAGACTGATTAGATAATTTCTTCAAATAAATGTGGAATACCTTAAAAGTATGATTTATTTTATGGTAATTAAGTCAGGTTTTGAGTTCCGCATTCTTATAAAATAAACATTTATATGATGAATAGTTATATATGCAGGTAAAAATAAAACAATAAATTCTAAAATGCTCCCTTCTTGCCTGGCTTAGTTTGTACTTAACAACTAGGGTTTTATTTTAAATTAACATTTCCTATTTTAATATGTGTGTATATATGGAACCTGATTAAAAATATTTTAAAATAGTAATTTTGTGAAAGCTTTTAATGTTTGTCTGTACATAGGCACACTATAAATTTGTACCTATACCAAAACTGTAATTTTTTTAACTGTTTAAAGTGAGTAAGTTGACAATGAATCACCAGCATATTGTAAGCAGAGTTACAGCTGGCCAACGTGAATTCACACGCTTCTCCAGTCAATGAGCCCATGGCCATTAATTAATATAAGGTTTTAGAGAAAAAAAAAAAAAATGTAAACAAAATTAAACAAAACAGTAGAATAGTTAAACCATAATATATCCCAGCCATTGTCATAGAAAATGGTAGTTACGTGTAATGTTACGCAGTCACGAAAATAAAGGACAAGAGGAGTGTGGCCTTCCCTTCACCTTATATAACAAATAATTCCATTTTTTAAAAATATCATTTATGGAATCATGGTCAGTGGTGGATGTTGGGGTAATGGGAAGATCCTTGGAAGATAATATTTTATTCCATGAAGTTAGGAAGAACATGCAGGACTGTTAGATTACAAAGCAACATAAAATACTTTGGGGGGCTTGATTTAAAAGTTATACTAGAATTGATTTATAGGTATTAAATGTGTCTTATGTTTGCTTTATTCTATTTAAGGTACCTCTGATTACCCAATCACAGGTTTCAAGGGGAATTAAAAATAATACACCATAATTTTGAGAAATGCTTAGCAGTAGCTGCTGAATTCTGTTTCATTCTGATGCAAAGCTTGTTAGCAGGATTATTAACAGTGATTACTGAAGGTCACAAACCACAAACCAAGGTCAGATCCTCTGGCTTCCTGCCTAATGCTCAAATTTACATGAAACAGAAGCATGCAAGGATGCCATCTTCATGTAGTTGCTGCATCATCACAGAGTAATTACATGTATCTTTGGAGACATGGCTGTGTTTGGAATTTGTATGAAAAATGGGCAAATTCACCAGTAATCACAAAGCAGCAATCGCTGTGGCAACATGAAAGAGCCAGCTGCATTTTGTATTTGCCATAATATAAAATGATGCAAGTATTTTCAAACATCTATTTCATCACAGAGCCTCCATTTTGTTAAAGAAATGAGTGGTTCCTTTACAGTCAGGGTGGTGAATTTTATTGTCAATTGTTAAAAAATTGGCAGTGTTTTTTTCTTTTGTTTTTAATGTAGACAAGACTTAGATGAAGTTCAAAAGTCTCTAATTTTAGTGCCTTATTCTGTGAAGTGAATATCCCTTCATTTTCATTAGTGCTTTCTATGCAAAATGGTATTACAATTAACTTTCAATTACTTGTGATGTATCCTTTTGAATTTAATACTCAGTTCTGCCTCAAGCCCTTTAGGAAGCTTCAATGTGGAAAATAGTGGATAGGTTCATGCTGTCTTATACAGCAAACCTTAGCAATGGAGCCACAGCTTCCAATGGTCCTGAGAGGCCAAACTCCAGCCTTAGCCTTGTGCACAGGCTGGCCCAATATCACTGCCCTCAGCGCCTTAAGCAGGGTAAGTGAAATCTCCAGCTTTTAAGGAAATTGTTATTAATTCACTGTATGCATGTAAGCACTACAGATAAAAGACTGTACTACCTATCAGTTAGCCAAATTTTTCAATTCATTTTTTAAAAACACTTTTCTCCTTTAGGAAAAGGGCAATAATTTAAGAAATTATGGTAGGTGAGGGAAAAATGTAGCTAATTTTACTTTTTATCTTATCTTATTTTTTTGAGATGGAGTCTCACTCTGTAGCCCAGGCTGGAGTGGAGTGGCAATATTCTCAGCTCACTGTAACCTCCGCCTCTTGGGCTCAAGTGAGTCTCCTGCCTCAGCCTTCTGAGTAGCTGGGATTACAGGCGTAGGCCACCACCCTTGGCTAACTTTTTGTTTTTTATTTTTTTCCGTAAAAACAAGGTCTCACCATGTTGGCCAGGCTGGTCTTGAACTCTTGATCTTAAGTGATCCATGCACCTGGGCCTTCTAAAGTGCTGGGATTACAGGCATGAGCCACCACACCTGGCCTAATGTAACTGACTTTAATAGTACCTAAGAATGCACCTCTTTGTGCTTACTAAGTACTTTACATGATTTCAAGTATAAAATACTAAGTAAAAACAGGATTACCTCAATAAATTGGAATTTTCCAAAAGTTTATAATTTTAATTAGTAAATTTTCTAGAAAGGGAGAAGACAACTCTTCTTGATTTTTAAAAGTAAAAATAAATACAAAATTGTTATTGTTTTTCATATTTCTTCTGTAGTTTATGTGATTTAAAGGACAGATGTTGAATAGACTGTTTTCTAGTCTGTGGATAATCAAATATGGATTTACAACTGAACTATACCTTTTAAAACTGGATAGAAAGAAGCAGATTTGGAGTTCATAGTTTACTTTGGAACTGGAAGAAAGGGCAAATTTCAGAATAATAGAATACTCTGAGTAAAACATATTGTGATATTGTTAAGTTACCTGATAGGAGAAATTTTATGGAATAAAATCTTTCATTTTAAGGCCTTTTTAAGATTGATTTAAAATAATATTAAATATTATAAAACATTTTAATCTTATATATTTTGTAAAAATAATTAGGTTTTTCCCCTGTATTCCTATTTATTTTAGCTTTTCTGTTGTTTACCTATCTATAGCATGACATTTATATATTTTTACAAATGACATTCAGTAAAATGTACCCTGCAATCAAAATTCAGACAACTACTCGTCTTTTGGGTTTCATTAATATCCTCAAATCTTTGTAACTCAAGTGTTATGAAGACAATCGAACTTTTGTTCATAAAGCCAGAGTGGAATTGCTGCTGTCATCCAAAAGGCATACCATGAGTAAAAGTCTGACGAGCTTAGCTTTGCTAATTGTGTCAGTGGTTGAGAGAAAGTGCTTAAGCTTTGAGGTCTAAAACCCTTTGCTGTAAGATTGGGGTCAATCTGCCTTGCTTTCTCAAGGACAAGATAGGGGAAATAATCAGTGTAATACTTACCTTACTGTCTTGTTAACGAGGATGAAATAAACACTAAACAAGACATCTGCAAGCCAGTTCACAGTTGACCAAGTGTTTTCTATGCATTGCATCTGGTCCTCATCTGATTTAGAAGGCTCAAATGACTTACCTATGATACACAGCTATGAGATAGCAAACTGAAATTTGAGCCTAGCTTTCTGGCCTCTAAGTCCAGTACTTTCTCTCCTAATTGACAAATAATAAATACAAAGATGCTTTGAAAAATAGAAAGTACTGTAGACATAAACAGTATTATATATACTTGGCCCAATTTAATTAAAAAACAGCTGTACAGCTATATTTTGTGACACTTGGATCTTGACAATCCAATCAGAGGACAATGATCCCAGAAATACGAATTGGATTTCTTTTCTTGATAAAAAGATTGCTTGTCACTTTGCAGCTTGTGTATACTATTGAATGTATCTCAGTGTGAAAAAGTCTACCTTTAAAATTGGGCACCTATACAGCTACCTATTGGTGTAAGGGCTACACATATGTTTTTCAGAATTTCAAATATATGCATTGCTTCAGCATGAATTATGAAGTGAAATTCCATTTACTGTTTCTTATTTTTCCCTTGGCACCCCCAATTCTTAAAGACATGTGTCACCATGTAAAAGGCAGGAGATTTTCTGGATGGGAAAGACACCTGTTCCTCCCTAGGTGCTAAGAGCAGTAGTCATTGGTAGGGAGGGAAGGGAACGTGCTCAGGGGGCTCTGTGGACTCAGTTTTCCAGGGCTAAGAAAAATTAATTGACTAGAATACTTTTGAGATATTACTCCTCATTTTGGGAGCTGTAGGAAAATTCAATAAATGGAATTTCATTGCTATGGATGAAGAAGTCAGACAAATTTCTACATTTCCAGTTGCTAATTGTTTTCAATTTCAAATAGCAACATTTCTAATCTATCAATACTCGTTGATCACCAATTATTTGCAAGAGTCTGTACCCCAATTTTTGATATCTATAATTAAATCCCGTATAATAAGTTTCTATTTTGAAAGTTGAATGTATAATTTAAGGCTATAAGTTCAGTTCAGAATCATCAGGTTTTAAAATTTCATATAAAAACAAAAATGAAAAGAAAGAAAATTCTTAATTTCTTTAACATGATTTCTGAGATCATCATATTTAAAGCATCAACATAATGGCTCAAAGTATATCCCCCAACTATAATCTCAACCAGTACAAGTGAATTTTAAGCCTACCACAGGATATTCGCTCCATTGAGAAAGTTCATTCTGTCTCAACCATGGTGCAAATCACCAGCCTCTCCACCCTAAATAGCTCCCCATAGCTCAAAAGGCACAGAACAATAGCTGAAATTGTAATGGAACTGACCTATGCACACATTCTCATCGTCCAGTTGTGCAGAAGCATTTCTGAAGTAGCCCAGCCTGCATAACTCACAGTGCTGCCCTCTAGTGTTGTGTTTACAGCTCACGCAAATGACTGTGTTTAGCAGATCGATATAACTGCATCGATTGGAGTGGCCGAAGCATTCACAATCTTGCAAGGAAGAACAGAAATGTATACAAAGTGTATACAATAGCAGAGTAATAGCATACTACATGCTTAGATAAAATGAGGGATGGAGAAAAGACGGTGGAATGGCATTACATACATGTGGTTCAACATGACACATGGTGACAACAGGTGGTTGTGACTAGCATGGAAATAGCATCTGTTTCAAGCAGGATAGAAAGGTCAAACATTCGAAACAGGACTGAAGGTTGTTAATTCTTGGCAGACAAGATGAACAGAAGCATTTGCAGGTGTGCACCTTTTAAAATTTGGGAAGCCTCAGTTTCCAGTGATGCAAAAGTCTATTTTTTGCAGACAGAGAATTTTACTGTCTTTGCACCATTTCCCTCATTTTCTCTTCATCTTTTTAGCCTTAAAAAAGTGGGAGGGGTGTGTGTGAGCACTGAGGGTCTGAGTCCGATCACCATGGCTCCTTCTGCTCTCTGACATCATGCCAAGACAGCAACTCAATAGGGGTTTCATACACATCACGGCAATTTAACAGAGATCTAGACAACGAAACAATTCCTTGTTTTTGTTTTCCTCCAATGCTAAGAGGAGAAGATGACTTTTTAAAGCCTTTCTTCAGACCGAATCTGTATGTGTATGTGTGAGAGAAGACATAAAAGCAGGGAGATCATTTGTGTGAAAACGTGCTCTTAAGATTTCCTCCTTTTCTTATAAGTTTCAAGAACAGTTTGCTACAAAAGAAGCATTAGGCAGCTACTGTAACCCCACATTTCTTTTCCTTGGTCTCTCTAAAATGTTAGAGCTGCCCCTGAGGCTTAGCAGTGACGGTGGTAACGACTAGACAGGGAGATGAAGAAGGAGATGAGAGTAGTTGGGGAAGGTTGGAGGGTGACTAGATTTCTTCTTTCTTGCATCTCAACTAGAGCAAGAAGTTGTAAATCCAATTCAACCTTTGTAAAAGAAATAGTAACGACAAAGTCTCTGTTGATAGAAATAATTACTACAAAAGTGTGAGTGGTAACTAGGTGGGGTATCTATTTTGTCTTCTTGGAATACGAGGGTCAATCTAGCTGGACATTTATAAGAAAGGTCAACCAGGATATTGCTCATTTTGTTTGTTTAAAAATATTTCGTGCATCAATATCTTGCTTTTATTTTATCCCACTAGGAAGCCAAGCACAGTCACTATTTGAACTCATTCATTCATTCTTCATTCATTAATTCATTCATTCATTCAATAAATATTTTCACTGAGTTTGTCTATCTATGTGCCAGGAACTTGGCTAGGTGTTGAGTTACTATTATTTGGCCTATACAAAATTTTGCAAATATTATATTTTGATGATCAGAATAAAAATGAGTAAGTGTTGTCAAGTAAATAATAGTAAGAGATAGCTAACTTTTAAAACTTAAAAAAAATTCATATGCTACCACTCATCAGAAAAGTTCACATTCATTTGTTAGAAAGCTAGCTCCTACAAAAGAAAGCTGAGATCAAGGTCCTGATGGAATGAAATCAAATTGGATCGAAGCAGAGGAGGACACTGGGAATGGCGAAGAGTAGAAGATAAAACCAGAAACAGTATCAGCAACTTTGGGACACCTGTTGCTAAAAGAGAGGCAAGAAAAAAAGGAGGATTCTGAAGCCAAGCCACTCCCTTTATTTGAGGTCAGCTGTATCACCATGTGCACGAACACAGGGAGTGAAGGGTGAGTGTGAGGACAGGAAGAAGTCAGAGGGGAGGTGAGTCTGAGGGTAGGGAGAGTCCTGGGAGAAGGTGGCCTTGAGACTCCAAGGTAGGAGACATTAAGAAAATGCTCAAATAAATTTAGTAGTAGAGGCATGCCAAGTTAACAATAATACTCCAATAATCACAGAGTTACAGATTAACAAATTAAAATCTCTTGGAAAACAACAATCATCTCCCACCAATCCACTGTACCTCTCTGAGTTATGCCTTGTTTATTACGGCATTACTGACTGCCAAGGAAATCAGAAAGCCTTCTAGAGCCTTCTCTGTTTGAGAGTTTGAAATAAAGACAATCTTTCAGGACTAGAACATTTTGAGAGCAGTGGTTGAAGGAAGGAAACCCAATTATCAAACCTAATTGCCTCCCAAGGACTTTTTGAGAACTGCCTGGAATTCCTGAGGAGGGGGAACAATAGCCCTGCCCCTGGGTCCCTTCCTCTCGAAGAGGTCTCTTATTGGCTGTCCTTTTTCAGGTTCTCCAATGCTGGTTGGTTCCTGGTACATCTAATTTAATTAACAGAGCTTTGTTCAAAAGTATCTTTTTATGTGCAAAAAATCATTCTAGGACCTTTCTACAGCTACATAGAAGCTTGTTGCCTGGAAGCTTGCTTAGTAAATAAGACAACATATGCTCAGATAACCAGAAAGAAAATAGCATGTGCTAAGAAAAAATAGGGATGCAAAGCAATCTAAGTAGAAGGAAAACTTCATTTAACATGAGGGGAATTAGAAAAAACGTACTACAGGACTTGCACTCTGAATCTTCCTTAGGGCAGGTAGAGTTTATTAAAACAAAATAAGAAGGAATGAGCATTTTAGGTGAAAGGAATAGAGTGAAGAGTGGGCAAAGGTATGAAGTTGGGGAAATGTAGAGAATAAGGCTAGTGACTTTTCATAGCATAGTTCCTTTGTGGGTCCTAAAGGATCCAGTAGATTCTGCCCCATGGCCAGAACTACATGCTTAACTCCATCTGACAAAGTTTTATCTGAAGGACAAGCCAAATCTGTAAGATACCCAAGTTCAACACTTTAAGGCCCATTCCACGAATCTCCATAGAAATGTTAAATATGATATTATCACTACTATTATCTGAATTTAATGAATAGTACACATTTCTGTGGTGACATTAACTATTTATGGGTCTTGTTTAAAAATTAATGTATTAATTTGATAGGAAAAGTTAAATATTATATAAGAAACCATACTCAGCTAAACACACAATACTATAAATTTATTTCAAATGGTAACTGGACAATTTAAATGTTTTACAAGCATTAAAAGGTTTTATATTCTAGAAAACGGGCTAATGATAACTTGATTCTTTTAAGACTTCTAGTACTCTTCTGAGACTTAGATAAAGCCATCTTCTCTGGCTATAATATATTTGAGAATATAAAATAAGAAACAGATCTTTGAAAGTGATTTGAAAAACATAAGAGTATTATATAAATACAAAGTATTTGAAATATGACTCTTAAACTGCTATATTATTTTTTGGTTTTCTGTTAATTTCCCACTTTTTAATATCTGGTCTTTCCATACAGGCACAGAAGCTATTAAGTATAGCTTGAGCTATGTTATTTTACTAAGATTCTGAAGGGATGATAGTAACAGTCTAATAATTCTTTGATTCTTCAAATCACTGACCTCCCACGTCCTCCCATTTCTTCTTATAAAGTGTAGTATCCATGGTCCAATCCTTATAATCACCTCCTCTATATACTCCCTTGCCCTTCTACCCCCCCAATTATAGAGAAATCTTGATCCTGGTTCAATCTTGATGCTGGTTAAATTCAACTCTCCAGGAAATCCTAGCCAGAGCTATCAGGCAAGAGAAAGAAATAAGAGGCATTCAAATTGGAAAAGAGGAAATACCTGTGTATGCAGCTAACTGAGGAGGTGAAAGATCTTTACGAGGAGAATTACAAAACACTGATGGGATAAATTGTAGACAACACAAATAAATGAAAAAATATCCCATGCTCATGGGTCGAAAGAATTAATGTTGTTAAAAATCACCCATTACCCGAAGCAAATTACAGAGTCAATGGAATTCCTATCAAATTACCAATGTCATTCTTCACAGAATCTGAAAAACCAACCCTAAAGTTCATATGGACACCCCCCCCCAAAAAAAAAGCCCAAATAGCCAAAGCATTTCCAAGCAAAAGAAACAAATCCAGAGGTATCACATTGCCTGACTTCAAATTATCCTACAAGTCTATAGTAACTAAAACAGCATGGTATGGGTACAAAAATAGACAAATAGATTAATGGAACAGAATAGAGAACCCAACAATAAAGCCACATACCTACAACCACCTGACCTATAAAGTGGACAAAACTAAACAATGGGGAGAATAAACACTCTATTCAATTAACAGTGCTGAGAGAACTGGCTAGCAATATACAGAAGAAAGAAACTGAACCCATATCTCACCCTACACAAATATTAGCTCAAGATGGATTAAGGACCTAAATATAAGACCTGAAACCATAAAAATCCTGGAAGAAAACATGGGAAAAACTCTCCTGCGCATCAGCCTAGGCAAAGAATTTATAACAAAGACTCAAAACGCAAATACAACATAAACAAAAATAAAATTAAAAAATGGAACTTAAACTAAAAAGCTTCTGCACAGCAAAATAAATAACAGAACAAACAGACAACTTACAGAATAGGAGAAATATTTAGAAATTATGCCTCTAAAGACTAATATTTAAAATCTATAAGGAACAAACAACTCAACAGGAATAAAACAAACAACAACATTAAAAAATGGGCAAAGGACATGAACAGACATTTATCAAAACATACAAGTAGCCAACAAACACATGGAAAAATGCTCAATATCACTAATCATCAGAGAAATATAAATTAAAATCACACTGAGGTGCCATCTTACACTAGTCAAAATTACTGTAATAAAAAGTCAAAAAGCAACAGATATTGGCATGGATGTAGAGAAAAGGGAATACTCATATGCTGTTGGCAGGAATGTAACTAAGATCAAACTCCACGGAAAACGGTATGGAGATATCTCAAAAAACTAAAAATAGAATTGCCACGTGACCCAGCAATTCTACTACAGGGTATCTACCCAAAGGAACATACATCATAAAAAAGACAACTACCATCGTATGTTTATTGCAGTACCATTTACCATAGCAAAGTCATGAACCTACCCTAAGTGTCCACAAATGGTTGATTGATTAAAGAAAATGTGTATATACCCCATGGAATACGATGTAGACATAAGAAAGAATTAAATGATGTCATTTGCAGCACCATGGATGGAGCTGCAGGCTATTATTCTAAGTGAACTAACAGAGAAGCAGAAAATCAAATATTGCATGTTCTTATATATAAGTAGGGGTTAAAGGGTACACATAGACATAGAGATGGAGAACTAGACTCTGAGCACTCCAAAATGTGGGACATTTAAGAACTGAAAATTACTACTGGGTCCAATGTCTAGTATTTGGGTGATGAGTCTACGAGAAGCCCAATCCCCCACCATTATGCATGTAATACCCATGTAACACACAAGCAGTGTACCCCCTGTGTTGAAATTTTTTTAAAACAATTTAACTTTTCATCTTTTCATGCTCATATTGCCATAGGTAAATGTGGTTAGTTTTTCTCCAACTGTTTAGAAACAAGTCTCATTTGAAGTTCATGACCATAAGCCTCAGTGGGGTCCTTAGAGCTGCCTGGTAAACCTTCCTGAAGCAGTGGGCTTCTGGGCCACCACACTCTCTTAGTTCTCCTCCTTCCCTACCCATCAGTGCTTTTTTCTCTATTTTCCTTTTTGTCCTCATCTCCTCAAATGTTTCAAGCTTTAATCATTGGACCTCTTTGTTCCTTACATTCACACTAGATGTTTTTTACCCAACTCTGTGGTCTATATGTGGGGCATTCCAAAATAGTTATTTCCAGGGTGGACTAACTCCCCTGTTAATTAGTGAGACTCCCTTCAGAGTCATCCATTGTATGCCACTGTCTTCCTAGAATTTCCACTTGGACGTTTTATAAACATCTCAACTTTAACTTGTTCAAAGCTGAGCTCTTGGGTTGCCTTCCTAAACTTGCTACTCATCCAGGCTCCTCTATCTCAGTAAATGACCACTCCATTCCTCCAACTGCTTAGATTACCCCTCTCACCATCTCTACCACCTCTTCCTTAGACATATCATCAACCCATACTTGGATTATTGCCATTGTGCCCAAACTGCTTTTCTGGCCTCAACCCTTGTGATAATGTCATCTCCACATAGCAGACAGAGTGACTCTTTCAAAACTTAAGTGAGGTCATGGCGTCCCTCTGCTCATTATCCTAATGGCTTTACATACTATTCAGAACAAAAGAGATGTTCATTCATTCTTTAGTGACCTGGCCCCTGGCCTTCCTTGAAGGGCTCATTGCTAGTACACTCCTCATAATTCAGGGCACAGTGCCTCCATGTTGTTCTTCAAACATGCCAAGCACTTCCCAGGCCCTATGACTTGCTGGTCTGGAATACCCTCAGACATCTCCATGACTTGCTTCCCCACTTCTTTTTCAAATATCTTCTCAAAGAAGGTTATCTGACCATTTAATCTGAAATAATAGCCCCCACCCACATACCCTAATCCCTCAATTTCCTAATCTTGTTTATATTTTTTCATAGAATTTATAATATTCAAAAAGTATATGCAAAAATAATTTCTTCCCCTCTAGTTGAGTGTAAATATCCAAGGGCAGACTGTGTCTGTTATGTGCTCAATTGTAACTACAGAACTTAAAATATTGCCTGGCATATACTAAGCACTGAGAAAAATATTGTCAAATGAATGAATGAATGAATGAATGAATGATGATCCTAAGGCCCCTTCCTTTGGGGAACAGAGGAAGACACAGAGAAAAGCTATGTTTAAATTCATTCCTTCATCATTCGAATTCCCGAAGAGAATCTGACTATATCCTATATATTAAAGAGTTTAGAAAAACAGTAGCCACAGAACAAGCTGTAACTGAGTTAGTGATTATTTTAGCTGAGAGTTCACTATATGTCTATGAACAGATCAGTTTAGGCAGAGAAAAAGCAGGTTTCAGAAAATTGCTGTGGTTTTATATGGTTTTTAGTCTCAAACTGCATTTCAGACAAGTTTCATTATTGTAGCATAAGCAAGGCTAAAAGGGGCCTTTAGCTTTATGTCTACACAATGTGGCACAACAAACATTGGCAATACATATTTATTGAGAACTACCCTGTACCACGTACAGCCATCATGTACCAGGAGACAAAGGGAATGAAGTCCAGGCCTCCAGAGTCTAGTGCGGGCTTTTTCAACCTTGGCACTATAGTCATTTAGGGCCAAACAACTCTTTGTTGTATGGGACTGTCCTGTGTATTGCAGGCTTTTCAAATGCATCCATGGGCCCTTTACAGACTAGATGACTAGATGTGGTAGCAACCCCCAAACTGTGACAACCAGAAATGTCTCCAGACATTGGCAAATGTCCTCTGGAGGGCAAAATCCACCTACGTCCCCACTGAATACTATTGTTCTGGGGGGAGATAGAAAAAATACTATATACGTGTAATATATGAGATATATTGCAACATAGAAGGCAGTTGTGATAATCAAGTACTTAGTATCTAGCCAGTTAAGAGGAATAAAGGCTAGAGGGTTTTACAAGGGGAAGGGTTCAAAGTTGACTTTCCAGATAAGGAAAGGATCAAGTCTCCTCTAAGGTTTAAAAGTTTCCTTCTGACTGACACTGGCTGGGGAAGACCTGGGCAGATAAAGAGTTCCAGGAAATCAAGAGGTTGGATACAGAGAATGAAAGAAAAGAATGTTACTAAGAGGAGGGGATTCAATACCTCTTTTGCATCTTCTTTCTTTTTCCCCATGTTGCCTATATTATATTAGTAAATTACCTCTGTAAATACACTGAATGTGGCACATTTAGAACAGGTAGATTTTTTTATTTTTGGCCAAATAAGGAAAGCTAATTCAAATCCAGAGCTGATTAAAATTCACTTTAGACATTCGAAAAGGAAGAATTTGAGAAAAAGACTTTAAAGGTGAAGGAATGGGAACTCTAAAAAGAATCTTCCCTTCACTGCATTAAATGCAGTGATTCTGGAAATTAAGAGGCTCTAGCTTTTTCTTTGTCTTTTCCCCAACCACAACGCTGTCTTGCAACCTTACATAGCTGTGGAAGCTCTTCCACACATATCATTTGATGATGATGTGAATTTGTCTATAGTAAGTCTACTTCGTTGGGTAGCTTTCCCCTGCCTCCAGGGTTGTGTCTGGACCTCACTGGTGCTGTGTCCTCAAGAAGCTAGAGATGCAGGGTCAAATTCCAGGTTCAGAGGCCTCTTGTGTGTCTAGCACACTTGACATGACAGAAAGGAGATGAACTTTGTACGTGCTTTTTCCTTCCTTTCCCCTTCACCTCCTTTGTTTCCTTCCATATGGCATCCCTATGGTGGCTTCAGTGACTGCCTGCATGTCACACCACGTGCCTAGATTGGTTTGTTACCCTCTGAGCCTGCATCTGCTTTTCTCAAACAAGACTTATTTCCCCAAATTTCAAACCCAATTGTGTTCCCCTAAACCCAAATTGGCATCTTCTACATTCCACGGTTAAAAGCACATTTGAGAAAAATTTGAGACATGGTTTAAATACTCTTGGTTTCTCTTTTCCCATTTTCTGAGCAGCTTCCACTTTTTCTCTGTATGTCACGGAAGGACAAATTCAACATTGATTAAAATCTGGAAAATAACTAAATTCAATAAGGAATAGGAAATCATTATGGTCATTTTCACCAAATGGGTCAAACTAAGTTCAGATTTTATTAATAAATATATTTCTTTGTAAGAGGTGTTTTATGAAAAAGCAAAAATACAAAACCAGAAAGTGACATATGCCCAACAGTCAAGGGTGGAAAACAAGACACACTTGTTACACAAGACATTTAAAGAAAAAAAAATGGAGAAATAAAAACATAAATCTTTATGTTTCCTGAAAAATCTTCATTCTGTGAAAGACAGATGCTAGCTGGAATGGGCCATTCATGAGTCACAGATGAGCACTGCTCACTTTCATTTAAAGAAAGTAATATAACTATTATTTTTGGATCATAAACAACACTTAATCCATTGCAGATTTCACTTGTGTTTTTCGGGTTATTCAAAACAATTTTTTGGAAGCATAAATTCCAAGGTGTTTTATCTGTCACAAAGTGAAATGGACACCATACATGGAACCTGCCATTCTGGTCTCATGAAAAGTAGCCTTGAAACTCACTGTAAGTGGGTTTCCTTGTTTTCAATGCAAATGAGTATCCATGTTAGTGCTCTCACATTCATGGTCTAAACAGGTACCTCAATCATTTTTATTCTTATTCACACATTAATCTTTCAGAAAACAAATGTTGTAGCACTTTTAATTGTAGTCAAGTTTCTGAGTGAAGCATTTTTTTTCTTACAAATGATTCTCGGTACTATTCGATGCATTGATTGTTATCAGTCAACATGCCTCACCAATAAGCTGATGGGTACACTTCACAGATATTCCAGATTCATACAGTGCAAAGTTTCACAACACATAACACCATGAAATCACTGTATGAATCCAAGAATTCCTACCTCTCTTGTGGTTTGCAACTTGAACAGAAGAAACTGTTGACAAAGCTAATTTGGGAGCAACTGGATAGGTTTAAAAGAATGAACAATAAATTAGAAACAATAGTGAAACGTTCAAACTGTAATAACTTATCACCAACCCACTTGAAAAGTAGCCCTAAATTAAGAGATTATTTGTATCTGTTGTTTCTGGGAATTTGTTTCAATCACAGGGTAAGGCTTGCATTTGGCTGAAAATGGTTCAACATTGTCAGTAATACAATTTTGAAGTTTTCTTTTCAGAGGCAAAAATTATTACCATTTAAATCGAGAATCCAGTGAAGCAAGGATCATTCCCATAACAATATGGATAGTAGGATCCCCTACTGTCAATTTAAAAAAATAGTAGTTGTGTTGTCAGTTGACATTATCATTGCCTCGGTTCACCATGACATTCTATGTCATCCTAAAGTAGTCTACATATATACCATTAGGCTATTCTTGTTGAACTCATTAGATACCCTAGAACATAGTCAGTCCCAATAGTCAGCCATTCAGCAGCGTTTGGGCCTAGGTCTCAGAGTCACCTTGAACATGTGTACCTTTGTCTTTAAAAGTTGTAGTCTTTTCAGCATTTATCACCTTTTTGATGATATCAGCTTGTTAATGGTAGGGTTTTCTCTCTATTTTTGCCTGCCATTTCTTCTTCAATTATTCATAAAGAGTTGTTTGTGAAAATAGCCAAAACAGAATAGAGCCTGATATTCTCTGCAGATGCAGACAAGATAAATTATGGCTGCAGAGAACTGGCCTCTGCTACAAAGTGCACCTTTTGCTAAAATTTCAACGTTTAAGCACTTTGTTCAACTGTGCCGCTTCTCAATAGATTCATTTGAACTCATTATCCACATTCTAAGAAAGTACAATTGGTATGACATTAAGATATTTCTGAAAGTGTTTTGTCCTGTGACACTCAAAGAAAACACAGCAAAATAATTAAATGGGCCTACTTCAGGTTTTGAACAATGCATAATCTTGTTCAGCTCAAAACTCACTGTGGAGAAGTGTTGTCTTAGAGCCTGTGTTGTATAAACTGTGGACTATGAAATTCAATAGGAAATGCTGAGTGACATTTCACTGAAGATGCTGTCACTGAACTTGCCAAGGAATAAAGCCAGTAAACCTCTTCTGATTCCTCACAGAATTAAACTAATAGGGGTGAGCTCGATCTGTATTTCCTCTTTCATATATATGTGCAGAAACTTGAAAAAATTCATTTGGAGCAGATGATTAAGATAATTCTATTTGCTGGTAATATATGTATCTAGGACAGTCTAGATTTCATCACGCTGATCAAGGACTGAAAATGCAGCCCTTCCAATTTGACTCCTCAACAAATTGCTAATATATTTTGTTTTGCTTAGCAGCTATTTCCTGGTTCCTCCTTTTGCTCATTTCCTCTTCCATCTGTATTCATTAGAGTTTAAAAGGAACATCCTGTATATAACTAAGGAAGATGGAAGCTAAAGATGTGCCTTTTTTTTTTTTTTTTTTGTAGAAGGAAGAAGGCAAAAGAATACAATCTTATATTAAAAGAAATTCCCATTTATACATGATTATATATATCATAGGGCAGATGTTAATATGAATTTAACATGACACTGTGGCTTATGAAGTTTATTGCTCAGCTTTTAAAAGTTCTCTTTCTTCCTGCACAGTCACATTTCTATCAGTCTTGTTTTCTTGTTTTTTTCTTTTTTTTTCTTTTTTGACATTAGGAGTCAGAAAATAATTACTGCTTTAAGGACAGAGAGCAGATTGCTCTAATGCTGGAACACATGAATGTTAATTGATAAAGAAGATAAAAGGAAAAGTTCCAACAAGGAAAATTTACTGTGATACGAAAGAGAGAGAGATACACACACATACGCAAACAGAGAGAGAGGGAAAGAGAGAGACAGGAGGGAGGAAGTAGGGAGGGGGGGAGAGACAGGGAACAAGAAAGAGTATGTGAGAGAGGGTCAAGGAAGGGTAGAAGAGAGGAGGAGGGAGGGAAAGAGACAGGGAGCTTGCTCCAGATTTTGGCCACTCAATGTGGAGCAATAGTCAGAGAAAACATCTTTCAGGTGTCACAATACTACCTCTATGTATTTTTCCAGATCCTCAGTACAACTGAGGTACTAGTTGGTTGACTTAAGAGGAAGACATTGAAAGGATGCCTGTACCACTCACCCGTTTTTTAGTCTCGTCTGTACTCCACACTGTGGTGGCAACAGAAGTCTAGATTTCTCTTGGGACTGACTGACCTTCAGTGTAATCTAGTAAAGATTAAAGCTAAAAAGCTTCCATGCCATCTAATTTTCCCCCTCATCTTTCACTCTAATATTTTTGGGACACTCTTCATATTAGAAAAAAGATTGAATTATGATTCTTTCAAAGACATGGCATTCATGATAATGCTCTTATTTTGTGCTAAAAATGGCATATAGGATTTTCCCCCAAACATGTGGGATTTTATATCAGTAGGAATTTTACATGCTCCTACCTTGTTTTGGGTTAGGAACCTCAAGGGAAGAAATATTCGGCCATATCCTATTAAACTTTGGAGGAGCTGCATGCATCAGGAAAAATCAGGGTATGTTATTTTCATCTATAATGTCATTTGGTTTAAACAGAAAATGATATGGACAAAGACACAAATCACACATCTGCTCTTTAACTTGGCTGTGATACGCTTAAACAAAACATGACTCTCACATCAAACAAGAGCAAGCAATTCATGATTCCCAAAACATTGAATGGACATTAAATATATAGCTACTTCCTCACTAAAGCTACACGTTTTCTTTTAAAATAAGGTAGAGTGTTCTTACACGCACACAAAAATACAAATAAGGACTTCAGCAATCCAAACCATTATGTAAAGCTGGTGCCTGAAACTAGGAGATAACACTGAAGAAATAATCTCTCACTTGAGGATTCCACTCGCCTTAATTTATATTTACAGATATGAACTGGTTGCATTAGTCTTTCATGGTCGATTCTTTGGAGTATGTTTTAAGTGTGAGCCATTATCTCGGAAAAGGAGTGGGTATATTTCCTGTTTTTGTATGTGTAATTTCTCAGAAAAGGAAAGAGGGATAACTGGTGGTTTTGGTTTATGGAGAAAAGTCCAAGATGCTTCCAATTGTATCTAAGGTTTGTATGTATGAGTGTGTATATGTTTTCACGATGTCTTTACCTCAAAATATGTTTCTAGAGTTATTGGTTCCAATGCAGAAATAACTGAAAACATTAATTAATTTAAGAATTTGTATTATTTATGTCTTGGTATTACTTGTGTCTTTCAGTTATGGAAGGCAGAACAGCCAGGCTAGGATTTAGTTTTTAAACTGTTTTTGTGAAGGTGCCTAGGGCATGACTATTAAAGCAGCTATTTTTTCTTAAATTTTATTTATTTATTTATTGTTATTTTTTTTAAAAAAGAGACAGGGTTTCACCATGTTGGCCAGGCTGGTCTTGAACTTCTGACATCGTGATCCACTGGCCTCGGCCTCCCAAAATGTTGGGATTACAGGTGTGCACCACTGCACCCGGCTAAAGCAGCTATTTTATGATTAAAATCTTATCATCTATTGAGTCCAGCCTCAAAACCACCTGTCTTATGTTGTTCTTTGGTACCACCCAAGTCCATAAGGACGGCTCTTGCCTCTCAACTCCTGTAACCTGTTACTTTCCATGCTCCCGCCTTCTCACCGATATGTGGACAGGCATGAGTTTTAATATTGCTAGTTAAAATTTTATAGGTCGATTTCTCATCTCTCTAATTGGATTGGATCTCTTTGAAGAAGGGCAAAGCCTTGCAGAGTGCTTCAGTAAATATCTGATAATTGAGAAATAAATATCAAGTGGTTAGGCTACTGTAAACAGGTATTATCATACTGCCTCCTCCATAATAGATTATCACGGGTTCTTCCAAGACAAGAGACCTGAACTTTAACTTTGCTTTTTAAAGCAAAGTTAAAAAGCTGATCTGATGGAGCCAACAGAGCAATTGCTCTGTTTCACGCTGTTCTCATACATATATCCACAAAGGCGAAGGAAATCTTGATGATGAACATTTATGAATAAAGAAAGAATGTAATAATTTTATGCATCTGTACGCAGGTGTTACTAAATAAATAAATATTTAGTAATAGGTGGGCAAAATATGCAAGTTACTGACTGAATGTTGCTTTTCATCTGAGCACTTTGATGATGGGTAGATATTGAATTAATAGGACAAGCCTACTTGATCTGTGATGATCAGCTTTGAAAAACTATTAAATTTGTGTTTCGAGGAAATTAATATTGTCTGTATTCCCAGAAACTGTTTATTTAATAAAGCTTTCAAAGTATTGGTGCTGTTTTACATAAATGTATTTATATTATTGCATCAGATTAAGACAATCTTAGTTTGGTGAACTAGCTCTCTCCATCTTTTTCTGTACAGAGACAAATACAGGGAATAAGTGGGGGTGAAGTTTGCAAGCCTAATGTTAAGTATTTAGTGACTTGTTTGTCATAATGAAATGCAAGTACTACTATAATTTATTATTTTGTTATTGAGCTTTGCCAAGAAATTTAAGTAAAGATAATAACTTTATATTAAATCAATTTTAGAAATGAGTTCTGAAAAATAACACTATAAACTTTATTTCATATTCTAATATTTTAAATATTTGTCTGTGCCTGTATTTTAGTATAACTCCTTTCTTAGTGTTTTATGATTTATTTTCCTCCAGAATGCCAAGTTTCCAGATTATGGATCTTCTTATATGTATTTAAAAAATTAACATAGGTCATTCTACTCTCAATTTGCTGAGACTTCCTGACCTGTATGGAATTATCAAGATAGACACCTCACTTACAATCTGTTGCTACTGAGAATATAATTTTCTTCTGTACTGTGTACCTAAAATAAGCCTTTCCTTTGTGTTTGCCTGAGAATATAATTAGAATTTTTTTTCAAATAATTTTCATTATGTAGAATGCCCAACCTCCCTGAATTACTAAAACACAGAACCATCTGCAGGCATCATATGAAAATCCTGATCAAATCGATATATATCTCCAGTGGAACAAAATTTTATGTGTTCTGCATTTTCCTTGGAAGGAAAAATGTTATCCTATAAAAATCAATATTGAAATCTGTGGCCTCTAAACTCCTATAGTGTTTTACTGACTTCACATATACATTTTAATATTTGGCCTTCATGAGATTTTTTTTGAGTTAATATTTCATCTTAATTTTTTAAATATATTTTGTTTTATAATTACACCAGCAACTTAAAATTAGCCGATTATTCTCTGAGTAATTTTACTTTTTATTCTAAGATTTTGGCCTGTACTAAATGCTCAACAAATATTACTAACATTTAATTCCCAGAATTAAATCAGGCATATTAGAGGCTACTTTAATAGTATGATTGAGACTAATTCTATCTTATCACATCCAATTCCAATAAAAGTTTTTGAATAACATGAAGCTTCTGAGACTTCTTAGTGAAAAAAATTCTTAGCAATAGAAAAAAATTATAATACATCAACAATATTCGTACTGCTTCTTTATATGAACTGTTATAGAACGTATTAATTTTTTTCACAAATCAACTAAGGAAAATCTTTGGGTCAATATGAGTGTCTCAGAGTGGTAGTTTGTTATAAGGCAAAGGGCACTGGGATTCAGAAGATGCAAGGTCTGATCCGCGTTCCGCCACTGAGGAGCTACCTGGCTGTTAATTTCTCTGGATTTTACTTCCCTTAGCTGTAAAACAAGAATGCTGGATAAGAGACTTCTTAGGTTTCTCTCAGCTGACATGTTCCGTCACTCCAGTGGTTTTTCTCATGGCCTGGCAGCATCATATTAAAGTTCATGGAAAGATGATGCCTGTTGATATGAGGCATATGCCCTTTGGAGATTCTAGTGGATTAAGAATTCTTTGTGTGATGAGAAAATTATCCCTACATACCTTGACTATGGACTTTTTGACTGTTAGTGAAACCCAAACTGAATTGAGAAATTATTATAAGGGTGAGGGGAAGGATCACTACATGCTTATAAATGACAAATCATTGAGGAATAGCTTTTTATGGAAATCACTTCTTCTTAAGGATGCTGGTTCCATACCTTTGGGAAAATTAACAGAATTTGTCTTGAGGATATCTCAGATCAAGGCTCCAAAGACTATGTCTACATATTTAGTATGGAGACCAAAATCATTTATTCCACAACTGCCTCCTTTAAAAATAAAACAATTGAAATGTCTCAGTTGCTATTATTAGTCTGAATTTTCAGATTGTATCTGTGGGAAAGCCTAGAAAATAATCTATTTAGGGTAAATTTATTTAAGATATGGTGCTGTCAGTAAAGCTTAGTCTGGATTAGAAGCCCAGTTCTACCACTTGGACAAGTTCCTTAACTTCATTGTGCCTGGCTTTTCTCATCTGCAAAACAGAATAATGACACTATCTGTTACTTGCTGTTGTCAAGACAGAAGGAGTTAATATTTGCTTGGCATCATAGTGGGCATTCAATAAATGTTAGTTCATTCTATTTGTGGTTGCTATTGTGAATACAAATCAGATTACTGTACTATAAACAATTGTTACTGACTAGGAGTAGGAAAAATAATGTCTTCCCCTATTTTTTTCAATGTTAATTGTGCTTAAAGCAAGTTATTCTGATAAGTTGAAAGGATCCCTTAAGATACAGCTTACTTTAGAGAATAATCCAATTATAGGGCCTTTATCAAATACTATTATTCAGAAAGCAATACAAATTATTTTATAACACTGTGTAAAAATATTTGATTTTTAACCTTTAAAAATAAGAAAATGGTAATTTCTACATTTCTTTTGGTTTAGAAGTACGTCAGCTTAGAATATGAATGAAATAGGTAGTTTCTCCAATTTTTTTTAAGAACTTACCCCTAAAACTGTTACATGACAATTTAGTTGTGGCACTTGAAATCAATTTTTATGAATGAGAAAAATTGAGATTTTGGTTATAAAAATGGGACTCTGGAAGGAAATATTTTCCTCTTCTGCACCCAAGGAAAGCTCTCTGCATTGTAAGTTGAAGAAAACTGTGATAGAATTGCTAAACCTGACTGTCTAGGGCTGATGTAACACTGAGTCAAGCTACAAAGCAAGTTTGAAGCAGAAAACTAAAGACAGTTTATTGACATCAAGAAAGCTTTAGGGGTAGAATTGCTTTAGAATATTAAGTTGTCTTCTATCACACATGGCATTTATGGAGCAGCTTTCAAGTCACTTTGTGGATGGCCTTTAAGGACATTGTAAAATGTAACTTTCCAATTAAGGAGAAAGTTTTCTGATTTTTTTCTAGTATTTTCTACCACTTAATAGCTCGTATTTTTAGTTTAATTTATATAAATGAGGTGAATTCTAATGTCATGGTAGAATGAAAAAAGTCCTAGTTTGGAAATTGGACATTGAGCTGGAATTCTGGCTAGGTCATTATTCAGATTCTTTAGGCAATTCATTTAAGACTTGGTTGCTGGTCTGAAAATGATGAAGTGGGTGAGTTGCTTTTTTATTAAGCTTTCT